TAATTTTATATCCTGCTACTTTACCAAATTCATTGATTAGCTCTAGTAGTTTTCTGGTAGCATCTTTAGGATTCTCTATGTATAGTATCATGTCATCTGCAAACAGTGACAGCTTTACTTCTTCTTTTCCGATTTGGATTCCTTTTATTTCCTTATCTTCTCTGAATGCTGTGGCTAAAACTTCCAAAACTATGTTGAATAAGAGTGGTGAGAGTGGGTAACCTTGTCCTGTTCCTGATATTAGTGGAAATGCTTTCAGTTTTTCACCATTGAGGATGATGTTGGCTGTGGGTTTGTCATATATGGCCTTTATTATGTTGAGGAAAGTTCCCTCTATGCCTACTTTCTGCAGGGTTTTTATCATAAATGGGTGTTGAATTTTGTCAAAAGCTTTCTCTGCATCTATTGAGATGATTATATGGTTTTTCTCTTTCAATTCTCTTTTTTCTGCATCTATTGAGATGATCATATGGTTTTTCTCTTACAATTCAAGTAATCTTACTCTGAAACAACCTACTAAGCCATTCCACAAAGTGATCCCTTAAAAACTAAATTATACTAGATTACTCTGTTACAAAAAAAAAAAAAAAAATCATGTAGTGACTTCCCATCACACTTAGAATAAAATGCACAAATATTACCCTATTTAGAATATCATCATTTTCTGACCCCTTTCTGTAAATCTGAATTTAAGTTGTATCACTCCTGATTTGTTCTGGAATTGTATTTTTTCTATATCACTAACATTCCAAGTTGATTCCCATGTTGGGATTACTGCACTGTTCCTTTTACTTAAAATTCTTCAACTAGTCAACAAGGTTAGTTGCTTCCTATTTTTCCATTTTAAGCTCAAATATCCTCTTTACCACAAAATCTTCTCTGATTAATCTAAAGTACATTCCCCATAATAACTCTATATAACACCATTGTTATTTTAATGGTAATATATATCACTTCTCAATATCTAATCACTTCATTCGTTTGTTTACTGTCTTCATAAGAATAGGCACGTCATTTATCTTGTTTATTAGTATATCCCCAAAGCATAAAATAGTAATCCTGTGGGTGGTAGGTGTTCAATATTTGTTAAATAAATTAAGGTGTGAATGAAAGAGTGTAGAAATCAAGGTAAGGTCATGCTTGGAGGTATGAATCTGGAAGTCATCAGATAGATAGTATCTGAAGTCAAGGGATCTAATGAGATTTCAAAGTGAATAGATACATGGACATGGGCCATGGGGATTTCCAACATGTGGAGAGTAAGCAGATGAGAGGTTAGCAAAGAATACTGAGAAAGAGCAGCCAATAGATAAGAGGTATATCAGGAGAATGTAGTTTTGAGATCCAAGAAACAAACAAACAAAATTCCATGAATGGTTAGGGAAAGGTTAACTCTACTTTACACCACCAAGAGGTTGAGTAAGATGATGATGAGATGGAACCAAACTCTGTATTTAGCAACCTGGAGATCATAGGTTATTTGACACAAATCAGTTTCAAGTGTTTTGGAGACAGAAAATTGAGAGAACTGGGTTAAAATGAATGGTAAACATAAAATGAGGGAAAGCACAGAAAACTCTTTGAAGACTCTTTGGTGAGAAAGTAAACAATTCATTAGGAGAGCTGGATGGGGTGGAACATCCTGGTGGAGGGGGAAATACTGTTCAAGGGAACAAACTTGTCTTCAAGATGATACAAACTCCAGCATGTTTTTGTTATGGATCAAAATTAATTACTAGATAAGGCAATAGTATGGAGGTAGGAAAAGTGACCAGTTTCAGGGATATTTTTTAAGTACACTGAATAAAAAAATAATTGATGAATTAAATACAGGATGTGAGAAAAAGGAGAACCAAGACTAATTCCCAGGTTTGTGGCTTGAGCAATCAGTGAGATAGGGATAACTGGGGAGGAGAGGGTGTGGGGTAAAATAGTTGGAAATGAAGACTTCTATCTTGAACATGGTAGGTTTAAGACCTCTCTTAGGCCCAAATAGAAATATTTGATAGGTATTTAGATATACACGTGTCAAGCTTAGAGGAGACTTTATAACTGGACATATAAACTTGGGAGTTATCAACCTATACATAGGATTTAAAATTATAGGGCTAGATGAGACCCCCTCCACCCCGTTCAAGGGAACATAAATAGAGAAAAGAAACTAAGGAGTCAATATCAGGCACATCGACATTAGGGGCTGAAAGAGGAGACTAAGAGCAAATAGGCAGTGAGGTTAGAAGAGAAACAAGAGAGCACAGGGTCTCTGAAAGACGATGTAGCCACCTGCATCAAGTGCTGCTGATATGTCAAGCATATGTGAAATGAAAATGGATAGTTGGATGTAGTAAGATAAAGGACTTATTTTTAATCTTCATAAGAGATTTAGTGAATTTTTTCAGAGAGAAAGATAATTTGAGTGAAAGAAAATAGGAAGTAAAGAAGAAATATAGGCATATCTTTTGAGGGGTTTTGCTATAAAAGTGAAAAGATAAATCAGGTGGTTTCTAAAGGAAGATGTAGGATGGGCGGAGAGGATGTTAATAAGAGACACTTCAGCATAAATATGTGCTGAAGGGAGTGATCCAGCAGAGAAAAAGAAATTGATGATGTAGGAGAAAAAGTGGACAACTGCAAAAGCAAATTGTTTGAATAGGCAAGAGAGTGAGGTCCGTTGCTGAAACAGAGGAGAGAAGCATAGTTTATACACCAAAACAGTAGTGAAGGTTAAGGTATGTGGATACAAATGCAATAGGTTGGGTGAATAGATATTGGGAAAATGAAATTATCTTCTAATGGCTCCCAAGTTTTCAGTGAAATAAAAAGCAAGGCCATCTTCTGAGATAAAGGAAAGGAAGAAGCTGTTGGGGCTTTGCCAGTGAGTACAAGAAAGAGTGGGACAAGAAACAGAGGGTGTATGCAAGGAGTAATGATGGAGATTAACTATAATGTCTAACCAAGGTAAAAATAGAAGTGAATACATAAAGCAGTAAAAAATGAGGTTAAAGAATTATTGAAGTATGGGTACAAGAGGAAGTCAGAGAGTAAATCCTTGAGAGTGAGATTTTGGAGACAGTGCCATTACAATTAAGTCCAGGTCTGAAATATCACCACAAATAACAGTAGCTGAAAAAAATCTTAAAATCTTAGGTGTGTTTTTGTAAAAAGCCTATAATTGTATTTTTAATTCAATCTTTATAATCTGCCCTTTAACCAGCAAGTCTGGCCTATTTTACATCTACTGTAACTAATGATAAAATTATATTTAATTCTACTCTTTTATATTTTCTGTTTATCCTGCCTTTTCTATGCTTTTTATTTTCTTTTCCCCTGGCTTCTATTGAATTGATCAAGGTTTTTTTATTCCCGTTTTTTCTTCTCTTAATGGTTTAGAAGTTATAAATTCTATCCTTCTAGTTCTTATCCATAAATTTATCAAAATACATATTTAACCATGTCAAAAATTAATCAGTACCTATTTCCTCTTACCAAACAATCTAAGGTCCATAAATGCTATAGATCTGACTACTATAGTAATGCCTTTCATGCTGTTATTTTCTATGGCTTCCAAATTCTCAGTGAAATAAAAATCAAGGACATCTTCTGCCTGGTTTTATAAGTCCTAAAGTAGTCATTATAATGCTTTCATGTAATAAATGCTTGTTTAGATTTGTTGACATGTTTAGTAATTCCTTTGTTCAATGAGATAAACTGAACATTCCTTAAATGTTATTCCTTAAATTGCAAAATGAAAGCTAGTCAACAAAATATTTTTTATTTTTTTATTTTTTATTTTTTATTTTTATTGGAATATAGTTGATTTATTACAATGTCGTGCTAGTTTGAGGTGTACATCAAAGTCAATCAGTTATACATATAAATATAGCCACTCTTTTTTTTTTTAATTTTTTTTCCCATATAGGCCATTACAGAGAATTGAGTGGAGTTCCGTGTGCTGTACAGCAGGTTCTGACTAGTTATCTATTTTACATATAGTAGTGTGTACATGTCAGTCCCAATCTCCCAATTTATCCCTTCCCCCCTCTTATCCCCTGGTAGCCACAAGTTTGTTTTCTACATCCGCGCCTCTACTTCTGTTTTGTAAATAAGTTGTTATACCCTTTTTTTTACATTCCACATATAAGCGATATCATATGATATTTGTCTTTCTGTGTCTGACTTACTTGACTCAGTATGACAATCTCTAGGTCCACCCATGTTGCTGAAAATGCCATTATTTTGTTCTTTTTTATTGCTGAGTAATATTCCATTGTGTATATACACCACATCTTCTTTATCTATGCCTCTGTTGGTGGACATTTAGGTTGCTTCCATGTCCTGGCTACTGTAAACAGTTCTGCAATGAAAATATTTCTTATAATATTGAAAATTTATTAAAGCCATTTGATCCAATCAAACCTTTTTTATAATATTGAAAAGCTATTAAGCCATTCTATCCAATCAAAACCAAAAAAAAAAAAAAAAGTAAACTGAAAAGATGTTTGTTCATTGACTGTCTCAGCCATTTGACAAACTGGCTTGCAGAAAATAGTCTCTCAACATACATTTAGCAAATTAGCTTTTGGAGAATGGATTTTTAGCAAATTGGTATGAGAAAGTTTTCCTGCTTCTGACGAGTAGCCTTTCTAAAATCCTGTTATGGACAATGGCCAGATCAGAAAAGGGTGTCTTATGTACAGAACACTAAGGTCTGTGAGAGTATCTAAATCCTGCTGTGAATGAGTTCAAGGTCAAAATGTTGGCATTTTTTAGTAAGTAGTTCAGTCAAACTCTATGTTAATATTCACCATGTAGATAATAGATAGAAGTTTTTCGTGGCCATCTTCCATTTTTAAAGCTGGACT